GGGATGGGTGAGGAACAGGCAGGGATGGGTGAGGAACAGGCAGGGATCAGTAAGGAACACCTTACCTTGATCTTAAGGGACTTCTTCAGCTCCTTGATGACCGTCTCCCTGTCCTCCAGCTTCAGCCCCAGCCCCTCGGCGTCCGTGATCTCCGCCCGGAGCGCGGCCGCCCGGAGCTCTGCCGGGGGCGTGGGCTGGCACAGCGGGACAGGGCGGGTTGGGATGGCAGGGACAGCCCCAGAAACTGCCCTGCCCAGCTCCCTGCCCACGTCCCTCCCGGCAGGGCAGGGCCCGTGGCTGGTGCCGGGGCACGGCCGCACCCACCTTGTTCTGTGGGCGGTCGGCGTCGTACTCGCCCTCCTGCATGGCCGTGGCCATCTTGTTCATGGTGGCCATGAGGATGCTGCAGGACTGCCTCAGGCACTCGTAGGGATTGATCCCCGGCGAGCCATAGATCTGGGAAGGGTGGGAAGGACGTGGCTGGACCCCTGGGCCACGCTCACAGCCGCAGGGACAGGCAGCACAGGGCAGGGGCCGCACACCCCGCGTGGCCTTTCCCAGTGACATTCCCGGCCCATTCCCAGCGGGCTGAGCCCCGGAGCTGCCCCTGGCCCCACCTGCTCGCTGACTTTGAAGGCCAGCTCCTCCAGGCGCGGGGCCGGCAGCCCCTCGGTCTCGGCCAGGGGCGCGATGAGCTGGGCCCCGGCTGCTGCCACCTCCTGCAGCACGGCCACCACCCAGGTCAGGTGCTTGCGGCACTCCAGCAGCGTGTCCGACACCTGGGGGGAACGGGATGGCAGGGAATGGCACGGCTCCAGGGAAATGGGATGGCAGGGAATGGCACAGCTCCAGGGAACGGGATGGCAGGGAATGGCACAGCTCAGGGAAATGGGATGGCAGGGAATGGCACGGCTCCAGGGAAATGGGATGGCAGGGAATGGCACAGCTCCAGGGAAATGGGATGGCAGGGAAGGGCACAGCTCAGGGAACGGGATGGCAGGGAATGGCACAGCTCCAGGGAACGGGATGGCAGGGAATGGCACAGCTCCAGGGAACGGGATGGCAGGGAATGGCACAGCTCCAGGGAACGGGATGGCAGGGAATGGCACAGCTCCAGGGAAACGGGATGGCAGGGAATGGCACAGCTCCAGGGAAATGGGATGGCAGGGAAGGGCACAGCTCCAGGGAACGGGATGGCAGGGAATGGCACAGCTCAGGGAAATGGGATGGCAGGGAATGGCACAGCTCCAGGGAACGGGATGGCAGGGAATGGCACAGCTCAGGGAACACCCCCCCCCAGGCTGGGATCCTGCCCAGCTCAGAGAGTGTCACTGGGAGGGGGGAAACACCGGGATAGGGGAGAATAACTGAGGGATGGAGAGAGGCAGGTGTGAGCCCAGACCCCCATCCCAGCTGGGAACACGAAACCCACAGACACCATGTCCGTCTGTGTCCAGGGAATGGAGCTGGGAAGGGGCTGGAGCAGCAGGAGCAGCTGAGGGAGCTGGGGGGGGCTCAGCCTGGAGAAAAGGAGGCTCAGGGGGGACCTTCTGGCTCTGCAACCCCCTGACAGGAGGGGGGAGCCGGGAGGGATTCGGGCTCTGCTCCCAGGGAACAAGGGACAGGAGGAGAGGGAACGGCCTCCAGCTGTGCCAGGGGAGGCTCAGGTTGGATATTGGGAAAATTCCTCCTGGAAAGGGCTGTCCAGCCCTGGCACAGCTGCCCAGGGCAGGGGGGAGTCCCCATCCCTGGGGGGATTTCACACCCTGTGGATGTGGCACTTGGGGACACGGTCAGGGGTGTCCCTGGCAGTGCTGGGGAATGGCTGGACTCAATGGACTAAGGACCTAAACCAGTCCTTGATTCCACGATCCCAGCTCAGCTCACACCATTTCCCTCTGCCCTGAGCTGCTGCTCAGCTTCCACAGGGCGTCAGCTGCTGCCCAGTCCATCCCACAGCTCCCAGTCTGTGGCTGAGGGGGGTCCCTGCTCACCTGTGTTCCAAAGCCCAGGGCCGCGGGGATTCCCGGCGCATCCGTGCCCGGCATCCGGCGACGGATCTTCTTGCAGAACTGGCGGATGTCACTGCAGGATGTCTCCAGGTCCTTGAGCAGGATGGCCAGGTCTGCTGCCTCCTGCCCGGCCTGGGGACACAGGGGCACCTCAGAGGGACATTGGGACACACAGGGACCTCGGAGGGACACAGGGACACACAGGGACCTCAGAAGGACACTGGAGTAGAGAGGGACCTCAGAGGGACACAGAGGGACCTTAGAGGGGAAAGGGGAGAGGAGGAACTTCAGTCAGAGGGACACAGGAACAGAGGGGCACAGGGACACAGAGGGACCTCAGAGGGACACAGGGACACAGAGGGACCTCAGGCACAGGGACAGCAGGGAGCTGGCACACACACAGCCTTCCCAGCAGGTCCTACCTGGAGGAAGGTCCTACCTGGAGGAAGGTCCTACCTGGAGGAAGGCCCGGAGCCGACACACCTCCACCCCCATGCAGTCCAAGGCACTCTGGGTGAACTGTGGGCACGAGCACAGGTCAGGGAGGGCCCTGGGGCACTCTGGGGCCAACTGGGGCACTCTGGGGCACACTGGGGCCCCAGGAATTCCAGGATGGACCCTCCCACCACCCTGGGATTTTCAGGCCCAGGGAAATGGGCTGAGGCAGTCAGGCTATTTCTGGCCTATTTTGGTTTCACTCTGTGGGGAGCAGGACACTGATCCTTCCCTCAGGAACTCTGGGATACACCCTGCCTCCCCGACACGAGGGTCTCCATGCTCCCCTCCCTCTTCTCATCCACTCTGTCCCCATGTCCCCCTCCTGACCCCAGAGCCCTCGTGCCACCACTGGGGAAGAGCTACTGCACTGGGAAGGGGCAGCAGGGGCACCTCAGCTCCCAGAGGGATCCCGGGGGGCACAAAGGCAGAGACCAGGGATCAGGAAAGTGTCAGGGTTCCCTCTCACCTTGATGTGGTCAGCCAGCTGCAGGGTGCAGTCCTCAGCCTGGTCAGCCAGGTGGATGCTGTACAGGTGCTGTGGGAATGGCAGGATTGTTCCCACACATGCAGGTGAACAACCCAATTGAGGGAACCCCCAACAAACTCCAAACCTCAAGGGTTTAGCCCAATTTTTAACTGGAAGTGACAATTTGTGCAGTGACCCCACCAGAGACCCCCCAAAAGAGCGGGTGGTTCTTAATTCCACAGGTCAGCCAACCTGGCCTGCAGGTGGGGTACAGGAATGTGGGATGGGAGAATCACATCCCTGGGGACATGGTGCAGGGACACGGCCCCAGGGGACACAGCCTCAATCCTGGGTGTTCTGGGTGAGGACACCCAAAGGAAAGGGCTGCCAAGGAGCCAAACCCCAGCTGATCCATGTGCCCCGTGAGTGACGGATCCAAGGCAGGACACCCAACAGGTGAGGTGATACCTGTCCCCCCGTGTCCCCCCAGCCCCACCTGGTAGTACTTGATGGCTTTGGTGAGCGGCTCCACATTGACGGTCTCGTCCAGCTGGTCCTTGTGGAGCAGCTCGATCAGGAAGTCCAGGGAGCGCTCATGGACACTCATCTCGGGGTACAGGGTCCCCACCTTCTTGTACACCTCCACACTGCACTTGTTGAGGGCCCTGGGGCACAGGGACAGTCAGAAAGGGGCTGGGATGCACCTCGGGGGAGGACACGGAAAATGGGAGCCCCGAGGTGCTGCCCTGGGACAGAGACACGGCCGAGCCCTGGCTGGTGCTGAGAGCTGGGCCCTTCCTGGGTCACCTCCGGGGGGACACAAGGGGGGCACAGAGAAGTGACCCCTCCCAAGGCAGTAAGGGGATCCTGCTGCTTATTTCTATTCTGGCTTGCTCCCAAAATCCCCTCCCATGTCACCTCTCATGGGGGACACAAGGAGGGTCATTGAGAAGTGACCCCTCCCAAGGCAATAAGGGGGATCCCAACACTCCTTTCCAGCCTGGCTCCCCAGGGCCCTGTGACTCGGCTCCCAGAGGCTGTGGGGGTGGGATTGGGGGCGCAGGTACTCACTGCTCGTATTTGTGGAGCGTGGCCTGGAGCAGGCTCAGGGAGTACACGAGCCCGGCGGCGAAGCTGAGCTGCTCCCCCGCGGCCCCGCGCAGCCCCGCGCGCTCCGCGCAGCTCTCGCTCAGCTCGAACCTCTCCTGGGCCTGTTTGCTGATCAGCTCCGCCTGGGGACACACAGGGAGAGCCCTCAGGGCACCCCGAGCTTCCCTGCTCCGTCCCGCTCAGCCACGGAGCAGCCACACACCCTCCACATCCCCAAAAGTGACGGGTCCTGGGAAAGAGTGACCCACCAGTGCCACCACCCCCATGGGCAGGGGCCTGCCTCCTCCCCCTCCCTTCTCCCAGACCACTTTAGAATCATGGAATCATGGAATTATTTGGGTTGGAAAAATGTCCTTAAGACCATCAAGCCCAACTGCTCCCCCAGCACTGCCAAGGCCACCGCTGACCATGTCCCCAGGTCCAAGACCACGACCAACATCCACAGGGCTGTTAATTCCCCCCAGGGATGGGGGCTCCCCCCTGCCCTGGGCAGCCTCTTCCAATGCTTGACAATCCTCTCCAGGAAGGAATTTTCCCAATATCCAGCCTAATCCCCACCAGGGGGAGAACTGCAGTCTCCCATGAACTTTTGGAAGTTCTCCACCAGTAAACACTGCAAACCCCGACTCCAGGCGGGACAGAGAGCCCAGGTGTTCACTCCCAGCCTGTCCCACCTTGCAGATGAGGCGGGGGATGAGCAGCAGCACCAGGACGCAGTCGTGGTCCCCGCCGTGCCGCAGGAAGCTGTCAGGCATGAAGGAGGTGAGGAGGGACACGTGGCGGTTCGCCTGCTGCACTTCCATCTGCCGCAGCTCCATCTCGATGGCCTGTGGGACACGGTGTCACCAGCTGCTCTGCACCCCCGGCACAGCCCAGCCCAGGCTCCTCAGCAGTGGGAATCCTGCTCCTCCAGGACATGGCAAAGCCTCATTCCCTGGCTGGGATCTCACTGCCACCCCCTGCCACGGGCAGGGACACCTCCCACTATCCCAGGCTGCTCCAAGCCCCGTCCAGCCTGGCCTTGGACACTGCCAGGGATCCAGGGGCAGCCACAGCTCTGGGAACACCCTGGTGCCAGTGCCTCAGGAGCATGTCCCAGGGCACGGCTGCCCCACCCAGCTCTCCCTACCTTGGCGTGGGCTTTTGTCTCTGCAAACTTGATCTTGAAGTCGAACATCTCGGGGGGCGGCTGCTGCTGCTTCTCCGCAGACGCTTCCTGCTGGCTCATGAGCTCCCGGTTCACGTCCTGGGCACGGGGAGGGGGTGGTGGGACACAGGGACACCAGCACAGAGACAGGGAACCCCACACCCTCAGCAAGCCCCCCCAAACCTCCCGGTGCCCCCTCTTGGGGGGGTCCCCTTCTAAAACCCCCGGGGACGGGGGGGGGGGAGGGAGAGGCACCGAGTGCATTCCAGGAACTGTCCTACAGCCAAGGAATCCCCAGGCTCATTCCCTGCCTCCTTTCCCTGCCAGGAGACCTGAGGCCAGGGCTGGGACAACCATCACCAGGAAGAATTTCTTCCCAATATCCCATCTAAATCTCCACTTTTCCAGCGGGAAGGCATTCCATGGCCCTCCAGGTCCTTGCCCAAAGTCCCTCTCCAGCTCTCTTGGAGCCCCTGGCACTGGAAGGGGTTCCAAGGTCTCCCAGGAGCCTTCTCTTCTCCAGGCTGGACACCCCCAGCTCTCCCAGCTTATCTCTATGGGAGAATGCACTGGGGGCTTTCCCAGAGAAGCTCCATGAGGAACCACTCCCAGGCACCAGCCGTGTCCTGCCGTGCCCAGATCCCACGGGAGCAGGAGGCAGCTGTGCCCAGATCCCACGGGAGCAGGAGGCAGCCGCCTGTCCTGCCCCAGGGACACCTTCCCTGGGGATGTTCCCACTGAGGGGGCATTGGGATGAGCACTGGGGGCTCCAAGGGGCAGCACCTGGAGGTGAGCCGTGAGCTCCCGGTACTTCTTGATGGTCTGCTGGTAGTCGGCCACGGTCTCCTGCGCCGCCTCCACGCGCTTCTCAGCCTCCCTCACGCGGCCCGTGGCCATGTCCAGCTGCTCCCGCAGCTCCAGCTCCGTCTCCCGCGCGTTCTCCTGCAGCTCGTCGTTCATCTCGTTCATGGCCTCCTGTGGGGAGGGGCAGGGGGCACACGGTCACACCCCGGGGTCCAGGGGAGCTTCCCTGGATCCCACAGCTCCCGGGGCTGGGCCAGCCCCCAGCCCTCCCAGCATTCCAGCCCCGGCCCCCTGGAGCAGCCCCGATCCCGGGGGAATCCTCCTCACCAGGTCCCCGACGGTCTCACGCAGCTCCCGGACCTTCTCCTCCAGGTCCAGGTTTCTCTCCGTCAGAGTCTCCACCATCTCCTCGGCACCCAGAGCTGCATCCACCTGCAATCCAATCCAATCCAATCCAATCCAATCCAATCCAATCCACATCCACATCCACATCAATATCCACATCCACATCCACATCTACATCCACATCTACATCCATTCCCTTGCAATCCAATCCACATCCACATCCCAATCCTTCCATCTGCAATCCAATCCACATCCACATCCACATCCACACCCACACCCACATCCACATCCACACCCACACCCACATCCACATCCCAATCCATCCACCTCCAATCCAATCCCAATCCACATCCACACCCCAGCCCACCCCCCTGCCATGACACACATGCTGATCCATCCCTCTGCAACCCAATCCAAATCCACATCCCAATCCATCCCCCTGCCAGGACACACATCCCACTGCATCCTGGAGCTCAGCACCACAGCCAGCAGCTCCCAAATCCTGTCACACCCCGTGGGATCCCTCTGCCAGGCTGTGGCACGTGGCTGAGGAACTCCTCGCCCCATCCTGGGTTGAGGGCAGGGCAGACAGTGCTCAGCTCCCTCCTGGGAGCAGGGAAAAGCATCCCTCAGGAGAGCAAACCCATCCAGCTGGCAGCTCCAGGAGGAAGACCCCACGTGGGAAGAGCCTTGGCTTTGGCTCCTGGAGCTGTTCCTGGCTCCTGGGCTGTGGCTCAGGGCACAAGGCTGGAATTCCAGCTCAGTTGACAATGACCACATGGAGCAGCCCTGGGAACACGGAGCATCATCCATGCCCAGTGCTCAGGAGTCATCCCATGGCCAGGCAGAGCCCAGCACTGCCCCACTGCTGGAATATGGCTTGGAATTAGGGAATATGGGACCAGGGGTGTATCACCACGGCATCCCTGCATGCAGCTCTCCAGGAGCTGACCCAGCAGCTGCTCAACGCCCCCAATGGCCCCAAAGGGCCCCAAATGCCCCCAAACCTCCCTTCCCACCTCCTCCCCAAGGACTCACCTGCTCCTTCAGCTCATCCACCGTCTTCTCCGCCTGCTTCACCTCCTCCTGCAGCTTCTCCCGCTGCTGCCGCAGCGACTCCAGCTCCGTGTTCTTCTTCTCCATCTGCTTCTGCAGCTTCACGTGCTCCTGCTTCTCCGAGGCCGACAGGTCCCTCATCCTGGGACAGACACAGCTCCCGTCAGGGCCCAGGCAGGGACAAGGTCCTGTTCCCTCCCCAGACACTGCCCATCAGCAGGGATTCCACGGGCTGCTCCAGGGAGGGCCTGGGGGAGCACAGGGGGCCTGGGAAGGAGCTTTGGGAAGCAGAGCTGGGCTCCCACCTGACCAGAGCCTCCTTGAGCCGGGCGTTCTGCTCCTCCAGCTGTTTGACCTGGTAGCTGGATGCTGCTCCATCAGAGCCTGCGGAGCAAGGGAAGAGCTGTGGAATCACAGAATCCCAGACTGGTTTGGGTGGGAAGGGACCTTAACTCCCACCCAGTGCCACCCCTGACACAGGCAGGGGCACCTTCCACTAGACCAGGTAGCTCCAACCTGGTCTTGGACACTTACAGGGATAGAGCAGCCACAGCTGCTCTGGAAAAATCCATTCCAGGGCCTCCCCACCCTCCCAGGGAGGAATTCCTTCCCAGTATCCCACCTAGCCCTGCCCTCTGGCAGTGGGAAGCCGTTCCCCCTTGTCCTGTCCCTCCAGGACCTTTTCCGAAGCCCCTCTCCCGTCCCACCTTTCTCCTCGATCTCGTGCTTGAGGATCTCCAGGTCCATGGTGAGATATTCCACCTTCTCCTTGAGGGAGTCCACCTCCTGCTGCAGGGACTCGGCGCGTTCCTCGGCCATCTCCTTGTCCAGCGTGGCCATCTCGATGGCGTCGGCCGTGTCCGCCATCTCCTCCATGTACCGCTCCTTGGCCTCCAGGGCATCCTTGGCCTCCTGCGGGGCACAGGGGGTCAGGGCACCCCCGGGACGACCTGGGGACACCCCACAACGGGCCTCAGGGCATCAGTGTCCCCTGGGGCTCTCCCAGACGAGCTCAAATCCAAGCAGCACCAGCTTTATCTTGGGATGAGAGGGGACGGCCCATGGGCAGCGCTCCGGGGTGTCCCACTCCCCTCTTCCCTGCTCCACACCCACAGAGAGCCTGGTAGGAAAACCATCTCCAGGTGAGGATGAAGGCATGGAGACAGGGAATACTGGAGCAGACAAGTAAATCCTTAGGGGAAACAAAACAGGAATCCACCCTGGAAAAGCAGGGCAGGGAGAAGGAAATGCTCCTTGGCTGCTTGGATGGAGTGCTGGGAACTGCAGGCACAGGTACCAGGACAAGGACACCTGTCCATGGGGAGAGAGGGGGAAAGGGAGCACCTGGAGAGAGGGGAAGTACCTGAAGAGAGGGAAGAGAGAAAGCAACATCCCATCTCCCTCAGCCCAATTCCCAAATAAACCCGATGCTGACCAGGAGCAGAGGAAATGGCCTCAGGTTGTATGAGGGGAGGTTTAGGTTGGATACTGGGAAAATTTCTTCATGGAAAGGCAATCAAGGCTGGAATTCCCCCTGCAGTCACCTCTCCCAGCGCTGCCCCTCTCCCAGGGACACTCACTGACCTTCTTGGCCTCCTTCAGGCGCTTCTGGAGGTCGGCCTGCTGCTCCTGCATCTTGCTCTTCCATTCCTGCACCTGCTCCAGCTGGATCTTGTACTTCTCCAGCTCTTTGAGCTTTGCCTTGTCCTCATTCCGTTTGATCTTCAGTGTCTCCAGCTTCTCCTCCAGGTCCCTGACCTGGGCACGGAGATTCTCCTCCTCCTGCAGCAGCAAGCCAAGAGTTAGGAAAGGAGCAGGGACATCCCTTGGACAGGGTTCTGGGGACATTCCTGGAACCCCATGGAACCTGGTCTGACTTTTGGCATCAAGTTTGGGGCAGTTTAAGAGAGGGACAAGGGCCTGGAGTGCCAGGACAAGGGGGAACGGCTTCCCACTGCCAGAGGGCAGGGCTAGATGGGATACTGGGAAGGAGTTCCTCCCTGGGAGGGTGGGGAGGCCCTGGAATGGATTTTTCCAGAGCAGCTGTGGCTGCCCCATCCCTGGCAGTGATGCCTCTGGCTCCCCCTGAGATGATCCTACACTCTCCACCAGCACCTGCTCAATCCCACTGCAGCATCCAGGTCATTCCCAGGTGATCTGCCCCCAGGGAAAACTGATCCAGGTCCTTTTCCAGCAGCTCAGCTCCGAGGGCAGGGAAAGGCTGAGCCAGCACAGCAGGACCCAGGGGAAGGGCTGTGGGGATGAGGGGATGTGACCCTGCTCCCTGGCAGCAGCTTCATGGATAAAGCTCCAACTCCCAAAGCTACTGACAGCAAGGAACAGGTCTTGGAAAAACCCTACACAACATGGGAAACCCCCCTGGATTCCCCCTCTGGTGCTTCCCCAGCCCTGGGGGGTGCCAGCAGCACCACCAATAAAACCACTTCTGCACCCAGGTACAGAAAACAGTTCCCAGAGAGCTCAGGGAACCGGGGACATGGGTGGGAATATCCCCTCTTCCCACCCCCTGGTGCCTTCTCCAGCCCCCTCCCCTCCATACCCAACCCCAGAACCAGCTCCTTGTCCTCTCCCACTATTCCCTCCCTACCCTTGTGCCCCAAATCTCTCCCAAGCCCTAATTAATTAATGAATCAAATCAGGATAGAAGCGATGAAGAACGACTTTAAAGATCAAGGCAGGAATAACTCTGCTGATGTAACCACTGGAAACCCCCAAGTCTGGGAAGTGTCAGAGCTGTCCGGGTGGGCTTTGCCTCCCCAGGCAGGAGGGAGAGCCCTGGGCTCACCTGGGCACGACTCACCTTGGTGGGCGAGGGCACGGGGGGTGCCCCCGGGGAGGGCAGGCCGGGCGTGGGGATCACGGGGGCCACCAGTGGGGTCTGGGCGGGGGTCCCGGGCTCGCTGCTGCTCATCTCCCCCCCCGAGGCCGAGGCTGACCCCGAGGGCCCGGCCCCGCCGGACGATGTGGGGGTGCGGGTGGGCTGGAACAGAGCACAGGGAGGGGTCAGGGCACACCCAGAGAGGGCATCCCTCAGCTCTCACCTCCCCGGGGGCTGCTCCAGGTGGTGCCCAGACGCCCGTTCCCAGGTGACAGTGGGGACACCCAGCCCTGCCTGTGCCACTCGTGACCCCCGGGAAGGCTGGGACCTCACACTGCTCCAGAGGAGCCGGGCTCAGCCAGAATTCATGGATAATCCACTGGGGAAGGGAAGCTCCCAGACCAGCTGGGGCTGCCCCAGCCCTGCAAGTGTCCAAGGCCAGGTTGGACAGGGCTTGGAGTAACCTGGTCCTAGTGCCACCATGGCAGGGGGTGGCACTGGATGATCTCCAAGGTCCCTCCCAAGCCAAACCATTCCAGGATTCCAGGATTAAAGGTCCCTGCTCCAGAGGGTGAGACAGCAAAAACTCAGAGCTCACCAAGACAGGAACCCAGTTTTAAGGAAACAAAGGGAAAATGAACAAGGAGCAAGTTCCCACAGTCCAGGGCCTGGAGCTGCTTCATCAGTGCTTAAGAGGCTGTTAATTAATCAGTGGGACCCAGCACGCAGGCCGAACCCAGGAATGGGAAAAGGGGAGCTGGTGCCCGAGGGAAGCACTGGGTGCCCCCAGGCCCTGCTGGTCTCCTCACAGACCCTGTTTCTGGAGCACTCACCTCTGGCTGTGTAAATTAAATTTCCTGACTTTACTTTACTCCTGGAAATTGGATTTGTTGAGGTTTCACCAGGTGTGTGGTTCCACCCGTGGCTGGGCAGGGACACAGCCAGGCAGGAGCAGCACCCGCCCTCTCCCCTTGTTTTTCCCAAAATAGAGGCAAATCGGAGTTAAATCGACTGCAGCAGGTCCAGAGCCCCTTGGACATGGCCAGCCTGCCCTCCTGGGGTGATCCTGGCTCTCCCAGGGATGGAGAACAGGAAACATCTCAGCAGCACTGGGCCCCATGTGCCTCCTCCCAGACACAACTCAAAACAGGGATGTTTGTGTTCCTGGTGCTTTAGGGACCACAAACCCCTCACAGAGGGCAGGGAGAGGTGGGATACTGGGAAGAGGCTCCTCCCTGTGAGGGTGGTGAGGCACTGGAATGGATTTTCCAGAGAAGCTGTGGCTGCCCCATCCCTGGAAGTGTCCAAGGCCAGGTTGCACAGGGCTTGGAGCAGTCTGGGATAGTGGAAGGTGTCCTTGGGTGGAACTGGATGGGCTTTGGGTCCCTTCCAAACCAACCCACTCCATCCCAACACCTAACTCCATCTAACCCCTGCCCAGTGCTGGTGTGAGGCCAAAGGATCAGGAGGTCCCACAGGACATCCCATCACAGCTCCACCCTGCACAGAGACCAGGAACAAGAGCCACTCAAACCGAGGGAATGGGACGGGATCCCAGTGCCCCGGGGCTGATGGAATCAGCCAGGAGCAGCCAGGAGCAGCGAGGGAGGATGGAGCCCCTCCTGCAGCCCCCCCAGCACAGGGGAGACAGAACACTCTCCATTTCCAAACCCAAACTCCACTGTTAAAGAGCTTTTTGAGGATTTCTCTCCACGTTTCCTCTCCTCCGGCCATGAGTCCCTTCCCAAGGTGGATCCTGCTGGTCCCAAGCACAGGCTGGAACCACACAGCCCTGCAGGACACCTCGGGCTCTCCCCTCTCTCCTCTGCCAGGAAAGGTTCAAGATCCCACCGAAAAACACCCCACACAGGGTGGGACAGTCAGGGATCAGCAACCCCCGCAGGGACCCCCCAGCAGAGACCCCCCAGCAGAGCCTGGGCACTGCCACACAGATTCCACACTCTGCTCCCTCAGCCGAGCTCTCCCATGGCCATTTCACCCAGGGAAGGGATCCCCAGGGATCTGGACCCGCTCCAGAGGGGCCCATCACTGCCGGGAGCTCCTCTGGGCTCTGCGTAACCAGGTGGAAGGACAAGAGGGACCAACGGCGGGACTGGCACCCCATGGGCCAGGTTTGGGGTGGGGTTGGCACCCCATGAGCTGTGTTTGTGTGGGGTTGGTACCCCCAGAGCTGTGTTTGTGTGGGGTTGGCACCCCATGAGCTGTGCTTGTGTGGGGTTGGCACCCCCGGAGCTGTCAGTGCCCCGTGCCCCCCACGCTCGGTGCCCCCCCAGCTGCTCACCTTGGGCCGGCGGGTGCTGGTCTGGAGGGCAGCGGGAGCAGAAGCAGAGAGGACAGACAGTCACAGGACAGAGGAGCAGAGAACAGCCGGAGCACAGAACAGCCGGCGGCGGCAGAGCAGGAAAGGAGACAAAACACAGCACGGCCTCGTTAGTGCCCGGCATCGTTAGTGTGCCCGGGGCACCAGCTGAGCCCGGCATCGTTAGTGAGCTGGCAGCAGGTGGGAGCTCGTTAACACACCCCCAAGGCCAGTCCAGGGGACCTGCAGGCACAGCTGCCATGGAACCCCCGGCACAGCTCCGGTGGAGCCCCATGCACAGATCCCGTGGGGTCCCCTGGCACAGATCCCGTGGGGTCCCCTGGCACAGATCCCATGGACCCCCTGGCACAGATCCCGTGGGGTCCCCTGGCACAGATCTCGTGGACCCCCTGGCACAGATCCCGTGGGGTCCCCTGGCACAGCTCCCATGGACCCCCTGGCACAGCTCCCGTGGGACCAGGGGAGCCCAGAGCCAGAGCAGCCCCTGCTCCCCCCCAGCCTGGCCCCATTCTCCCCCTCCAGCCCCACGTGGGGACAGAGCTGGGGACAGAGAGGACTGTCTGAACCCCCACCCCGACCCCATGGACACCCCGGGGCACATCCACCTTTATTTCCAAGGAATTTGTATCTCCAGAGGCACAGCCTGGTCCAGGCTGGCAGGGCACTCCAGGCTCCACAGGGGGTTTGACCCCCCACACCTTTCCCAGATGCCCCCGGAGCAGGAGGCTGAAGGGATTCATTTTAGACAGGATTACTCCCTCCCCTCATCCCTCTGTTTTCCAAAGGGCCTGGAGCCCCCAGGGCTCTGAACTCTTTAACCATAAATCCCAGGGACATCACAGAGCTGCTCCCACACTTCCAACTTTTCCATCCATGGCTGGAATTAAACCATCCATGCCTTTGGAGCAGGACCCCCCCACCCCTCCATGCACCCACACATGCAGCAGTGCCCAGCAGCAGCTCAGAGGGGGGGAGGCCATGGGGAGACAAACATGAAATTAATGAGTATTTTTCCCATTAAAAACAATCCCTAATTGATGGCAGAGAGGGAGTGGCGAGGCTGGTCCGGGGGGCAGTGGATGGGCAGGAGCCCCCAGCGTGGGCAGAGGGAACATCTGCCCAGAGGCAGCTTTGGAGTACGTGTCAAACCTTCCACATTGTCCTTCATTTGATTCCATGACCTAATCCCAGCTGGGAATAACCAGGAACAGAACAGATGGATAATGGTGCTGCCACACGATCCCAGCCCAGGATGCAGCTGGGACAGGGGGCACAGGGAGCCCCTCAGGGATCAATATCCAACACAGCCGTGCTCCCCCTGAGGGCCAGGACACCTCGGAACTGGATTTTCTTTCTTCAGAATAAACCTGGATGTGTTTTCATTTCCAAATGTCCTCTGGCATTCCTTTGGCTAAACCCTTCTCTGCTCACTTCCAGCCTTTTCCCAAAGGCTGCACTCCACAGGACACCCACTTCAATCCCAAGGGAGACATTCCCATCTTCCACAGCATCTGCGTGGCCAAACTTGCCAGGAAAATGGAATGACAACAGTGCAAATTCCAAACCCTCAGGGCTGGCTCAGGAAGCCCTTCAGGAGCACTCTGGCATCTTCCCAAAGTCCAACTGAGCACTGATTACATGGAGCAGCAACAAAAATCTGGGAAACACTTGGAAAACTGAAAACCACTTGGGGATTGCAGCCGTGGAGATGCCCCCACTCCCTGCCACACACGCTGGGCACGGTGCTCCAGGTGCCCTGCCCTGTGCTGTTGGCACAGGAGCCCCTGCAGTAGGGCAGGGCTGGGGGTCCCACACCAACCTCAGAGTCCCTGGACACAGGGAAATGTCACCAGAGATCACTGAGCCTTGTCCTGGGCCATGGGATGGGGGACAATGAGGGGGGGACACCAAGCCTTTTCCTGGGGGACACTGAGTCCTGTCCTGGGGGACACTGAGCCCTGTCCAGGCCATGGGATGGGGGGACTCCAACTCAAACCCCACCTCAAACCACACCAAGCCCTAAAACCAGGGAGAAACCTCCTGGTAACTATCCCTAAACCCATGTGGAATGACAGGGAATAATCCTGCTCTGTGCCTCCTCCGGGGCTTTGGTCCCCTCCATGTGCAGACCACCAAAAGCTGAAGCTCTGAGAGCCCCGGGATCCTTGGAGAGGGGGCAGAGGGAAGCTCTGGGATGCTCTGGGATGCTCCAGCTGCTCTCTCCATCAGGGCTGGCCTCCTCTCCGTGCTGGCTGTCCCTGTCCCTCTGTCTGTCCCCATGGCACGGCTGGCACCAGCCAGTCACTCCTGGGCTCTGGGAAGCCCTTGGCAGGACGGTGACCAGGATGGAACATGGATTCTCTGGATTACGGCATCGCGCTGGGAGCAGATGCTCCAACCACACCTGGCCCCTGGATCCGGGATGCTCCGAGCACCCCTCTGGGAATGCTCCACTCAGAGGTTCCAGGCTCTGCTGTGTAATGCTGCTGCATCAATATTTGATGCCATTATAAAACCTCTGATCCCTGGGGAGCGCCGGGGGCTCCAAACCGGCGCGCTCCGAGATGGACTTGGCTCCTGGCAGCAGCAACTCTGGAAACATCCTCCTGGAAATCCTCCTGGAAATCCTCCTGGATACCACCGACTGCCTATGGCAGGGCCGGCATCGCCCGCTGAACGTGGGGTGCAGGTCCCGCAGGTCCCTCCTGACTTTGTTCTGCTCCAAGCGTGGGGATCCTGATCCAGGTGGGAACACCGAGCGTCGGGGGGGTGAGCAGGTCTGTGTGAATGTCACCTTCCAGCAGGACAGGGGAGGAGCCACTGAACGCTTCTCCTGGACGAGGTTTGGGGGTTCCTGATGTGGAAAAGCCCAACTTCCCAGACCGCAGCTGCTGCTGCCAAGGATTCCCTGGACCTTCCAGGAGGGTTCCTGCAGCAGCTCCCGAGCAGGGCAGGCAGTGCTGGAGGTGATGCCTGGGAACTGACCCTCTGCAGGCCCACGCTGCCCACCCGAGCAGGCAGGATGCCATCCCACTCACCTCCCGGGAATTTTGGACCAGTCCTCTCCAGACACAGCCTGCAGCAGGATGAGCCACTCAAGGTGTGGCTACCTGGGCTATTCCTGGGAATTCTGCATTTTAAACAACCACCCGGCCCACACCCAGTCTCACAGCTGTGATCCCGTGTGCAGGGGGAGGAATAATGGGAAGAGCAGGATGAAATCCAGGTGTGGTGCTGAGCACCGGCAGCCCCTGCTCCCCCTCCGCTGGGGAGGAGGGAAACAGCATCCCTAAAACTTTCCATTTGGAAGCGGATTAGCAGGGACACGTGACCAGGTGTGTCGGTGTCTGAGCTCGGGATGTGCAGGTGTAAACCAGGAGCATTTACTGCCAGGTACAGGCACAGCCAGCCCAGCTCGGGTCTGTTCCCCGGCATCAGCCAGAAATTCCCAGGATTTCTCTTTAAGCTGAGCAGTGTCATCCTGGTTACGCTAAAAATAAACATATAAGCCATGCCCGCGCTGTCACCTGCGGGAACGGCAGCCTGGCAGGGACCGGGCACTGCCCGCCTCCGGGAATGCCGGGGGCTGATCCCGGCGGCAGGAAAAACGGGAGTGTGGACATGCAGACTCCCCAGGCTGGGCACCTGGAAGCAGGGATGGCATCGGCACCCCCAGGGCAGTGGGGATGGCATCGGCAGCAGGGACAGGGATGGCACCGGAGGCAGGGACAGGGATGGCACCGGAGGCAGGGACAGGGCCGGGAACGGCCCCGGCGGAGCCGCAGAGCCGCTGCATCCGCCGCGGGCACGGCCGGAGACACGGAGAGGGGACCCGGGAGCTCGGGAGGCAAAGCCAGCCGTGACCCGCTGCTGCTGCTGCTCCCCCACCGCCCCCCGAGCCCGTCACGCTCCCAATTACAGCCCGGCAGCATCAACGCGGGGAAAACGGGGAAAAACGGGAGGAGGCGGGTCGGGAAGCGGGGATGCGATGCCGGGGATGCGATGCCGGAGGATGCGGGGCCAGAGGATGCGGGGCCGGGGGACCGGGGGCTGCGGGGCCGGGGGCCCGGGGGCTGCGGGCACGGACCGTACCTTGCGGGTGGCCGGGGCCTGTCTCATCGCGGCGGAGGAGCGGGAGCAGACGGAGCAGCGGGTCAGCGCGGCCGGACACGGCAAATGGCCGCGGCCGCCGCCGGGTCCTGCGGGGGCTCGGGAGGGGGCCGGGGGGGTCGGCGGGGCCCAGCGGGGGCTCAGCGGGGGCTCAGCGGGGGCTCAGGGGGGTCCAGCGCAGCCCCCCCGGCCGCGGCCGCTCGTCCCCGCTCGGCGGTGGCTCCAACCACCGCCCCGGTGGCTCATGACATCACCGCGGAGGGGCCGCGCCGGCGGCGCCGCTCGAGCCGCGGGGCGCGGATGGCGATGGGATGAGCGGGATGGCGAGTGAGGATGGGCACGGCGATGCCGCTCCCGGCAGGGGGGTCCGCAGCGGCTCAGCACCCCCGGCACGGCCGGCGGGTCCAGACGGCTCCGTGGGTGCGCCCGCGGCAGACCCGCCCCCGCCGGGACCGCCGGACACAGCCCCCGGGCACGGACAGACGGACACACGGGCGGAACCGAGCCTGATGGACGGACAGATGGACACACGGACAGCTGCAGGGCCGCGTCCATCCTGCCGCGCTCCCATCCAGCGCCTCCCGACAACACGGGGGGACTCCCAGGAGCTCAGGGCACCCCTGTACGGCTGAGGGTGTGCAGAGACCACCACGGCCTCGGAGACCACCTGCCCTAAAGATCCCCTGCCCTGAGGATCCCAGCCCTAAAGATCCCTGCCCTAAAGATCCCCTGCCCTGAGGATCTCTGCCCTAAAGATCCCTGCCCTAAAGATCTCAGCCCTAAAGATCCCCTGCCCTGAGGATCCCAGCCCTAAAGATCCCAGCCCTAAAGATCTCAGCCCTAAAGATCCCAGCCCTAAAGATCTCTGCCCTAAAGATCCCAGCCCTAAAGATCCCCTGCCCCAAGGAGTCACCGTGGAGAGTGCTGGGCACCCAGCACATCAGCCAGACACCGTGTCCCCAACCCTCACTGCCATGTCCCCAAGCCTCGCTGCCCTGCCAGGCCCAGACCCCAAATTCCTGCCTGGCACCTGCAGCACCACCGTCCCCCTCCAGCAGCACCTGCACACCTGACCCTCCACACACAGAGGGAATTTCACCTCCAGCAATCCCAGACCCTCGGCACAATCCTTCCCATGTCCTGGAAAAAGCCTTTAAAGGCCCCTGTCTCCAGCAGGCTGGCATTCCCTGGAGGCAGCCCCACAGTTTGCCATGACATGGGGACCCCCGGTGCCCAACTGATCTGTGGTGGGGTCTGATTCCTGAATAACCTCTGGATCAGGGAATCGAGCAGCTCTGGGAGCTGGCACAAACGCCTGGAAGAGTCCAAGGCCAGGCTGGACAGGGCATGGAGCAACCTGCTAAGTGGAAGGTGTCCCTGGCCACGGAAGGGAGTTGGAATCAGTGGGATTTACAATATCTCCCAACCCAACCCATTCCAGGGTTCTGGAGCCCCTCTGCTCTGGAGCCAGGCTGGGAGAGCTGAGGGGGTTCCCCTGGAGAAGAGAAGGCTCCAGGGAGAGCTGAGAGCCCCTTCCAGGGCCTGAAGGGGCTCCAGGAGAGCTGGAGAGGGACTGGGGACAAGGGAGGGAGGGACAGGACACAGGGAATGGCTTCCCACTGCCAGAGGGCAGGGAGAGATGAGATATTGGGCAGGAATTCCTGGCTGTGAGGGTGGGGAGGCCCTGGCACAGGTTACCCAGAGAAGCTGTGGCTGCCCCTGGATCCCTGGAAGTGTCCAAGGCCAGGTTGGATGGGGCTTGGAGCAACCTGGGATAGTGGAAGGTGTTCCCAAACCACAGGGAAAAGGAACCACTTACTGGGCTTTTCCAGACAAAAGCACCCTGGATCCGTGGCCGTAATCCTGAGTGATCCAAGGGCCGTGTCCAGCCCTGGAGGAGCCACGTGCAGGCTCACCCAGATTTAACCTTAAGATAATTAAGGATATTAGAGCTGCTCTAATGAACCAGCTCCTCTCCTCACACACAGCTCCACTCCCTAAATCCAGACTATATAAGCTCTTTCCACATCCAGGATCCAGTAAATGCTGCAGCAGTGAGGAAATGCAATTTACCAACAGGAGAACAGTGTAGGATGCTTCGGGCTGCCCCTGAAACCCCTCAGGGACACATAAGGGAGGTTATTGATCCTAAATCCATGAGAAGGGAGAAGGAGCTTTTGGCATCATCGCAGCTGAGAGGATTCCTGGCTCTGGGGGGGTTTGGAGAGGAGCTGACAGGGTTAACTCCAGCTCTTTCCCACGGAGCCCCCAGCTCGTGGTGCCAGGTGCTGCTCAGCTCCCCACTCCAAAGGGTCACGGCCCCTTCCCTCAATTAACACCAAAATAATCCCCTTGGATCTCAGCCCAAGCTCCCCTGGGGACACAGAAGGCTGCCATGGGGATGTCACCCAGCCCAAGGAACAGCAGTTCCCGGGTTCATCCAGGCCCAGTTTGGGCAGCTGGGATGGGGCGGGTTCGGGAGCTCATCGGATTAGTCGTTCCTTTAAAGGATTAACAGGGCTTGGGGTGGCCCATCTGCATTAAACAGACCATCTGGGACCTGCTCCGGGCTGAAACGGGCCATCTGCTCCCACATGGAGACCTGGATAACACCGGGATAATGACCTGGCCACCGACCTGGCCACCGGCTGGTCACCCCAGGACGGGATCAGAGCGGGATCAGAGCGGGATCAGAGTGGGACCAGAGTGGGATCAGGTGCCCAGCAGAGAGGGAGATCCAGCCCCAGCACACACTGCTGGGAATCCAGCCCTGGCACAGGGAATGCCGGTGGGAGGATGAAAGGAACAGGGATGTCACTGGGGCAGGACAAACCTGACCCATCAGAGGGGACACCCCAGGGATCAAACTGGCTGCAGGGGACAGTGACCTGAGGGGACAGGACTGGAGCCACCCCCAGGGTGACAGCGCTGGGCACGTGCCACGTGTGGATGTGGCACGTGGGGACACGGTCAGTGGGGAACAGTTGGACTTGGTGGGCTCAGGGGGCTTTTCCAACCTAAAAATTCCATAATTCCAGAGTGTGTCAGAGCCCGGGAGCCCACCCTGACACGCCCTGAGCGAGGCAGGAGCCATGGACCAGCCTTTCCCTGCATTCCTGGGAGTCTCCCCATTCCCAGCCCTGCTCTGGCACACACAGGACCCACCATGGCCCTGCCACCTCCACATCCCTGAGAGGTGGCATCTGTGACCCAGTGTCACCCAGCCCTGCAGCGGGAGAAGGAATCAGCCTGTCACTCTCACATCTCAGGTCACACAGGGATGAAGCATTCACAACCCATTTCATCCCAAAAATTAGCCAGGAAACACCCTCTTCCTGCTCTTTAAACAGACTTTGGGGTCCCTCTGGGGTCCCTTTGGGATCCCTTTGGGGTCCTTCCCAACCAGACTGGCCCAGGACAGAGGCCAGCACCTCCCAGGGACAGCCTGGGCCCCCAGCTCCTGCCTGGAGACACTGCTCCAAGAACAAGGACATCCCAACACGGTGTCACAGCCAAGGGACGGGATCCCCCGTGTCCTGCAGCCCCTGGAGCTGCCCCCTTGCTCCAAGCCCTGGGAACAGCACAGCCCATCACGACCTCAGTGTCCAGAGACCCCTCTGCCCCGGCCCCACCTGCCCCCAGCACTCCCGAACCCACGGAGAGCAGGAAGGGAGCACGGCGGGGCAGAGAGGCCCATCTGGCACCCCACGGCTGCAGCTCCGGGGACGATTAGAGTCTATATTTGATAATCCCCGGAACGAGGATTTACCCGCTAATTACGCTCGTTATCCGCTGCCCCCGGCTGGAACCGCCCTGCTGGGGAGGGGCTGCTGGAGGGGGGCGGGTCACGGGGTCATTGACGGCCAAAAATGTTCAATTCTGAGGGGGCAGCAGAGCCTGGCACTGGGCTGGGGGA